CCCAAGTTGATTTTTCTAAGTAAGGCACTATGTATGTAGACAGTAGTCCAAATTTCCTTAATGTTCTGTGTTAATTCTGTAATTTAATTAGTATGTTTTATTGCAAATGGATAAAACTGTTGAGGTTATAAAGTTGTTCATTAAGGAAGCAATTCTCTTGCCATTTATTTTGCTCTGCACTAAACTGAGATGCCAGGTGGCCACAGGAAAGCATGGTAATATTAATTAAATAGTGATTTTATACCTGGAAATGTTTAAGAGGTTTAAAAAACTTCAATTAGCATGTTGCATTACATTGTAGTTGGAAGAAATAATGTTTTGAGCGCTTTACTCTTGTAATGTGTCTTTGGTATATATGATGGAAAGTGATATTTTGTAATACGCAGTCCTGTTTTATTTTCTGCTCTTATTTACTTTCTCTGTGTGTCTATGCATGCATGTGTGTGCATGTGTGTGTGTGTGCGTGTGTATGTGTGGAGGTACATGTATGCAGTTCTATGTGTGCATCACAGAACATGAGGACTTCAGAAGGAAACTGTGAGAGTCAGATATCCCCTTTGACCATTGGGTTCCAGGAGGCAAACTCAGGTCTTTATGCTGAGTGGCAAGCTCCTACTTTTACCAGTGGAACCAGCACACTGGTCCAGTAATTCCATTTCTAGATGTCCAGTTTTAATAATCTAATATTACTAATAGGTGCTGGAAACTACAAAAAACTTTTGCAGTTTCTGATTTTAGAGATTTAAATTTTATTGGTTTTATTTTTCTGGGTGCCTTTATTCTCTCACATTTCTGTATATATACATCAATTCACTTGTATACATAAATGACCTGAATCTATCATCTTCATTGGAGGATTTACTTGCCTGAAATAGGGTAGTTCCCTCTCAGTATAAGACAGTTCCCCCTTTCTCAATATAATCTATAAATCTAAATGCTGCATGAATTCCACCAGAAATACGCAGTTACTCTCAACAGTATATCATGAAACCCTCTCTCCCGCTTTGGGGTATCTTTACCCTTTAATATATTTTCATTAATGTATTAAATATGGACCTCCTCTTGGTAGTTTTTAAAGAATTATACTGAATAAATATGTCTAAGTAGCATTCACAATCGGCTTAGCTTCAAACCTCAAGACCAAGATATGTCCTGAAGCAATCTTTGTAAATTTACAGTTTAACTACTGTTTGAGAAAAGTCCATAATAATATGGATAGTAATATTCAAATAAATATAACTATTATGATAATGTTGAGTATATACACTTGATTTTTCAGATGTTAGTGGGATCAAAGATGGTAGATAGATAGATAGATAGATAGATAGATAGATAGATAGATAGACGATACATAGATATAGATAGGTAGATGACAGATAATTTTTTAGTCTTAGTGTGTGTATGTATTCACGCACTTGTGTAACTCTGTGTGTGTGTGTGTGTGTGCATGTGTGTGTTACTATGTATGAGTGCCACAGTTCAAGGACAGCCTCTGGTGTTGACCTTCACCACAGTTCAAGGACAGCCTCTGGTCTTGACCTTCATTATCCACCTTGAAACGGGTTCTCTTTGTTGTTCTCTGCCTGTCTATACCAAGCTAGCTGAACCACAAGTTTCTGAGAAATTCCCCGTCTCTCCCTCCTCTCACACGGCAGGGGTGCTATGAGCACAGCCCCACACTACTGTGTCTGGCTTTCCACAGGTCCTGAGGATGCTCAAGCTAGCATGGCAAACACTTTAACCCACGGAGTTATCGTTTAAACCCCCAAGAGTGACTTGAAAAAGAGAAAAATATAATGACTTAATTTTGATTAGCCTGTTACTAGTTTTCAAAATCCATTCTATTTTGCTTTCTTATTACTGACGATAATGTGATCTAGTGAGTTGTGCCATTACACTGTCTGCTTTCGGAGGAGGAACCCAGTGTTCAGAGAATTATAATTTGATCATAAGGATTTGATCTTTATACATTAATCTGCTAGCGGGGCCGCCTGAAACAGTCTAAGTCGTCTAAGCCTTTGAAATTCTGCTTTCTTACCCATTGCTAATATGTCTGCAGTCATTACCGCTTTTTTAAAAAATCAATATGGATAATTGAGTTATTATAAAAATTTAAGAAACAAGTTAGCCAAAAAAAAAGTGGTCTCATATTTGATTGTGAGATTCAGAGGCTGTCAGATATCCTTAGCAGAGAGCTCCAGGTTTCCTGAATCACAGTCTTCAGTGTGTTCATTGCCCTGGGTGGGTAACAAGCAGCATCCAGATCCCTTCCAGCGCCTGGACTACATTCTGAATATTGGTCAAATGTTCAAGACGAGTATCTTCTCTAAGAGAATCACCATCGTCAAGAAAGCACGCCAACCAAATTGCCACATCTACACACATACTATCTCTAATCCTCTCCACAGCTGGTGGGACTGGGGCCACAGTGTAACTAGTAACCTGTGAAATTGGTGATTATTCCTTAATACTTGAGATGGACGTGTTATTGTTGTTGCTGTTTTGTCTCTGGGTTTAGGTTTGGTACATTAGGATTTTCTGTAGCATACCAAGGCAGATCAGGACCTCAGAGTGACCTGTGAAAGCTGGGTAGCATCAGGGAAGAAAGAGGTATATGTACGGTCGAGCTGAGTCATGTTAATAAGGGATCAGTAAAGATGAAAGAACTGCTGACATTGCAGAGGTACCCGAAGCTGCCATAATTACCTTGACTCCAATAGCCCTTAGCCCCAGGCATGAAACAGCATTTTCTTTGACTGTTGTAAGATATAGATCCCATACTTCTTTCAGTGAGCATATATATCCTGGCTGGCATAAATGGGCCTCTAAATTATTAAGAAACTTAGCTTAACCAAGACTTAGTCCCAGGCTTTTTACATTTTATAAAATAAGCTTATTCCAGAACTAACAGATGCCACTGGGAAAGACAAATTACACATTTCAGAAGTGGTATTTTAAACCGAACTGTTCTGGGCTAGTGGAACAATCTATATGCTTCTAAAATCTTATCTCTTGTCTACATATCTAGTTTTCTGTTTCTTTGTTTCCAACTTCCTCCCAAGATTGATTACAGCATTTTCTATAATTCATTATCGTCTGCTTTTGCTCAAGGAGACAATCCCTGGAAATTTACACCAAATTACCCCAATAATGGATGCGCCCTCATAATTCACCTGTCTTCTGTATGTTCTCTGATTTGTGAAACGCTTTAAAACTGAACCTCTCTTTTTAATGGACCAGACATGTGCTTTGAGCTGTCCTAACCAGGACACATATCACATGACAATAGTTTCTGGAATCACCCCAGAAACCAAAGGTGCAAGCGGGAGATTGTGTGTGTGTGTGTGTGTGAGTGTGTGTTTCACAACGCACAATTACGGCCTTGATGGCTCTTTGTCTTTTGAAATGTAAGGGTTCCTGTTGTTCCTAACTCATAAACCAGAGTCTAATGCATATCTTTGTGGGCAAAATGTACCTTTTAGCCCAAATTTCAAAACCTTGCTTCTTTTTGAAACAAATCTCCAATTAATTCTGAGTTTAAGAGACTACTAAATCAAATGTTTCCTGTCACATGTTAGCACTATGGGGTCTTCGACTGAAAGGAGCCCAGTGTAATCTTATTGAACCAGTAGGTCACAGGAATAAGAGAAAACGGGTTTGGATCACAGGAGAGAGTGTATGCTGGATGGATCTGTGAGCTATTCTCTGTTGTGGTATCAGCTGACTGATGGCTGTGATTCTCAGAAGGACTCCAACATTTTGCCTTCTAAAAGCTGGAGATTAATGCAACCATGGCGAACCGCACAGCGCCACTCTGGCAAAGGAAAAGGGTCAGGGCTGGAGAGATGTGGCAGGTGTCAAAATAAAAGGTTAGGCTCTGTGCCTGGGGACCCATCTGTCAGATACAACCGTGATAAGACAATTAATGTATTTATTTATGTTGCTCATGACACATCATGCATTCCATAAAAATGATCAGTTTAAACACTGTCAACTGTTTTCTGGAAATTAGACTGTATGTACAAAGAAAATGCTCAAGAGAGAAAGAAGTGAGGGTTTATTAGTTAAATGGGAGTTTGTACAGCCAGACCAAGTTAGCTTGCAGGACTGCTAGCTACCTGTACTAAAGAACTAAAGCTTTAACCTCAACATCTTCATAATGTAGAGTTTGTATTAGGGACACTTAAAGTGGATTTAATGCCGAAAGATAATTGGTATAACACTCAAAATTTCACCATGCTTTACATAAGTTTGTAACAAAATGAATCCCAGGGAATATATGGGAAGAGGAGAATTTCCATCCACAAGCTATGTATCCTGCCTTCTCTTCAAATGTTTTGTTCACAGCGTTGTCATTATTAGGGCTTTCATCTTCACTCTGTGAGTAATTCTGACTCCTCTCATTGTATTTATTATTTATTTAGCTTTCTCACGACATCTGCTTTGCAATCTGTTTAAACTAGAACATGTTTAGAGTTAATATTCATCAGTGATCTATTTCTTGCAGATAAAATAAATTATCAGATGCTTTTAAAATGCCCTGTTATTTTACAGGTCAACAAATATAAAATGACTTACGTAGAATTATGAAAGAAAGAAGGGTTTTTTTTTCCCAGTTCAAAATTTCAGGTAGAAATTGATTTTCTCGTTTCTTTCTACTGTGGAGTTTAAAAAGGTTCCCGGTTATTGTTTCAATGCATTATTCTTGCGATCATTTTGAAGAGAAGAAACTGGCTCATCAACAGCATAATATGCTATGAAGAAGGAAGAGGCAAGGCCTTTAACTTCTGGGGAAAAATCCCTTTCTCAAGCTGCACACTCTGACAGTGATGCTGTTAGCTTTCTTTGTGACAACAGAAAGAAGCGTTCGAAAACAGAACTCTGGTGTTCAATAGATTTATTTTTCATTTTGTTGGGACAGAATTTTCCCCACTATTACTACTTCCCTTCTATTAGAAGGGTTGTTTTAGTTAAACATTAAGTCAATGATTTTTTTCTTCAGCAGGAAACCTTCTCTGCCCAAAGCATGTCACAGTCTTATATTTTCTACCATCTCTCACTGAAGCATGGATTCAACGGAGCAACAAGGATATTAGGATAGAAGCCGGGAAGTAAAGGTCAGACTCAAGACACAGACTTTATTATATGGTTCTTCCAGCAGTCTGATGCATGACTTACAAATCATGTTTGCAGTCCAACTACAACTAACTACTATTTCAAATTGAATTCACTTCTGCCTGCATTTCCTGACTCGGAGGTTTATGCTGTTGCTTTAATTTTATTTGAATTTCAGTCTTCTGAATTAGCTCTATTTCCTATCTCTTTATCTTCATTTGCCTGGATGCAGTTGAAAATACACTAGGGCAAAATAAAATTCTTAGTCACCATCCTGTACGACTCTTCAAAATTTCTAAGATGTGTAACGTTACCAAGCCGTGATCGGCTTAGCTAACTGGCCACTTTCTCTGTACCGCAGAATAAACGTAATAATCTCAACAGAAAGTCGGGATCTCTCTTACCTGATTTTTCACAGATCCATTAAAAGATACATCAGACAAAAGGTAAGACGATTTCTAACTTCATCACAGTATGGACTGTCCATTGGAAATGAGCAGTTTCACAGTACACGTTCTATCTTTATGTGGGGAGAAAATAAATGAAATGGTTCCTTTTATTTTAAAATGATTTAATTTCTGCTTTCACTTTTCTGCAGAACTGCGAAAGAGTAATTTTGCTGGATATCCACTTATTCCAATTCAGCCATTTGCAGACAGTGTGAGAATTCTGGTGGGGTTGTTGACCCCTCTTTGCTCTGGGACAGTGCAAACCTGCCTCTGTTTTAACCACAGGTAAGGTTTTCATGAGTTGTTCCCTGACAGACCAACTAGAGATGCTAAATCACCAAACCACTTCTCTTATTTTTTAAGCTTAATAAATACACAGTTATTTGGGAAAAATAATGACTCATTGGCCACTCCTTCAATCCATGATAATGGTAAACAGTGCCTATCTGAATTTTGATTATTTTAACAAACAATTAAAATCCTCAGCATATACTATGTTATGTAAAGAAAGTATCCATAACCAGTTTTGTTTCTTATTATTAAAAAAAGGTTGTTATTTCTTTCAGAAAATCTACTTGAAATTGATTAGCATGTATACCACCTGTGGTATGTTCCTTTTGTTAACTTCACATTTTTTCTGGATCTCATTTGTCTTAAGCATCACTTTTCTGGCCAAGCATTTGTATTTGTTTCTCTTGTAGTCTATAGTTTTATGGGCTTATATTTTTTAATTCGTCGAACATTTCTTCAATATTAGATGGCTAATATTTTACCTCCATTTCCAGATGACAAAACTCTGGTATACTGAGGATAAATCATTCTTAAACTACGAACCTATCTTATTTTAGTTATAGGGATGCTTTGCATCTACTTCCTGCTCAGATGCTGAGGAACAGGAATGACAGTCTGAGAGTTGTGTGACAGGAAAGAAAAATAAATAGGTGAGTATTCAGAGAAAATTAGAACAGGGGAAGCGAGGAGATTTGTTGGACGGCAAGCCTAATGATTTAAGATGAAGCGTGACAGCAAAAGATGGGTAGGGGTATAACTCTAAGTGGCTCAGTTTTGTTCCGTGTTGCTGCGCTAAAATACCCTGCCCAGAGTTTCTTAAAGGGGAAAGACTGCCTTACAGCTCAGGGTTGAAGGCTCAGTCCATCATGGAGGGGGAGTCAGACAGCAGGAACCTGAAGGAGCTGAACACAACCATCTGCATTTGGAAGAGAGCAGTGTGTGCCTGTACACCAGGGCTCAGCCCCTTTCCTCCGAGATCCCTAAGAATGGCCCACCCACAGAGGGGAAGGCTTTATCCTTTAATTAACTAAATCAAGATAATCCCCCACAGGTTTATCCAGAGGCCAGACTCCCAGGTGTGTCAAGATTTTTTTTTGTCAAGTAGACAACATGAACCACTGCACTATGGACCCTTGCAAAAGTCTTATGATAATGATGGAGAGGGAGAAAGGAAGTCATGAGAAATAATGCATCAATGGATTTCTGGGCCTTTAGCGTAATTTGATTAATTCTGAAATAACGTTTCCAGTATGGAATTCATTTTCAAGATAGAATAAAGAGGAACTTCTGTCTCTGAAGATGTTATTCATGTTGTAACACTTTGTCATGGGAGTGGTTTAGTGAGGAAGACATTATATAATGACTCGGAAGATGGACTTTGTAGAGAACTAGGAGCCCAATTCCCTGCTTCATCCTTCCTGTTATATGTGTAATCTTGACAAGAGTCGGAGCTACCTCCAACAGCAGCAGAATAGCTGGCCATGCGCATCCCCCTAACATCATGTCCAGTAACAACCCAGTAGCGGATCACACACAGCCAAGATGATTTAGAGCCTCACACTGGACAATCCTAGATTAGGCAAATCAGGGCTTTAGTCCTCTTGCATTATTTCAGCAGCAAACTGCTGGAGACCAACAACATCCCTAACCCCTACAAGTCTTCCTTCTTTGTTTTCACTGGAGAAGAAACAAATAGAATGAATGTACTAATCTCTGGATAAGATTCTGCAGACCTTTCAATGTAGCAAGCATCGATATCATAACTCTTGTAATTTGATTCAGCGTGTTCTACAGGACAGTGAACATTTTGCAATTCTAGTGCACACAAAAGCATTTCAATTACTTCATCACCATTCCAGAGGAAGAAGATTTGTAAAAGTTCTTTTACTGGCTTAATAGGTGAGATGTTTTCCTTTAAGTAGTATTAGAAGGTTCCAAAAATAACATGCAATTTCTAATACCTGTCTATTAAATTCATATATATTGTCTATTAAACTAATATATATATATATATATACAACCAGAATACATAAATATTCTATATATGTGTGTATGTATGTATAAGTAGAAATTAAAGAATAAACCATGGGGAAATGCTGTTTACTGGTTTGTTCTCTATGACTTGCTCAGCTTGCTTTCTTAAGCAGCCCCAAACCAACCTATTCTGGTGGGACTGCTCACCACGATGGGAACTATCACATTAATCATTCATCAAGAAAAAGTCCCTCCTCCCCCCCCCACGCACACATACACAGAGAGAGAGAGAGAGAGAGAGAGAGAGAGAGAGAGAGAGAGAGAGAAAGAGAGAGAAAGAGAGAGACAGAGAGACAGAGACAAAGAGATATGTTCCTACAGCAATCTGAGGGACACAGTTCCTCAAATTGAGGTCCTCTTTTCCTGGAAAAGACTAGTCTGTGGAAAGATAAAAGAAGTTAGCTATCGAAGCACTCACATATGCACAAGCACAAACACACACACACACACACACACACACCCTTTTAGGTATTTTAAGTGCTCTTCGGAATTAGAGTAAATCTATGGTTTCAGTTCATCATACTCCTTGACAAGTTAGTATGAGGTCTGGTGCTGGGTGTGTGCCCTGCTGTTCAGGAAGCTCTAATAGAATATTCTAAGCCAGAGGCCACTATGTCTATCATGATGACAGGCAGTGTGTTCAATGTAAACCATTAAAGGTAGGCTCTGCAGGATATCAGGAATTTAAGTAAAGATTAAACCATCAGTAAATCACCCTACTGACTTGCCTAGCTAAAACCTCTTTCATCTAGGTAGGCTTCAACAGGGATTATTTGTTCTCTGGATCCTCCTTTCTATTTCGGCTCTAGGAACGTAATTTTTGCAATATGTTAAAATAACTTTTAAATAACATAGATTTTGTAGGAAAATTATTTGCAAACTGTGAAGGCCATTTTGCTGTCAAAACTCTTTTTAAACCTTGTTTATGGAATTGTGTAGTCTTGAGACCACTGAGGTGAAATTGTTGTTTACTGCTTAACAAATTTTGTATGATTGTTTGCACCACTGAAAAAACCCCTCTGTCTCTCTGTGTGTGCACTTCCGCCATATGCTGCTGTATACCCCCATCCTCCACCCCCTCAAAGCCTCTTCAGTCTTCACTTAGCCAATTGCCACACTTTGTCCGGGGTCACTTCAGCCAGCATGACTAAGGGAGCTGTTTTTCAAGGCTGCAGTATCTGCTGTGTGAAGGACATGATTTCAAAGAAGCTTGAACTACTTTCAAGGAAGCAGAAGGGAGCAAACAGGAATGAAATGTCAATTCAGCTAACGGATCTGGACCAAATACTAGTTACATGACAGTGGCTATAGTATACTAAGATGGCCTTCCCAGTAATAGATAGCCACACATCTCCCAAAGACTCAGAAGAATAGGTAGTACAATTGTTTTAAACCAGGAAATAGCATATAGCTCATGGAACAAATCCTAGACATCAGCTATTTTTAAAAATGCAGAATCTGGGGTAACACAGACATATATATTTACACACATGTTATCTAAGACTATTTTCACATTGCACAAAAGTGGCAGAGTTGAATAATCAAGACTCAGTGGTGTGAAGAGCCTAAAAACATAACATCTTTTCTTTTGCAGGGAAAACTTTGTGAAGTCTTGCTTTGAATCTAAGAGGTAGGGTGATTTGTTGGGCAGCGATACATTATACAGACATTTGCCCAAAGGAAGCATGCCTCATTCCTTATTAAACCAATAAATTCCTATGCTTGTGAAAAACCACATATGCATTGGCAGAGCCAATAACCCCTTCTGCAGATAAGGCTTATTGCTCAGCTTGCATTTCTATAGTACGGTTACGCAGATGGCTGGTTGTACACCAGCATCTGCTACTTGTTCACCGTAACTGTGGAGCTGGGCATACGGCTACTCTTCCAGAATTGGATTTTTGAGGCACTATATTATATTCAAATATTTCCCTTTCTGAAATAAGAAGTGAAGAGATGTCGGCATTGTTCAAGCCTTCCCCCTACTTGAAACTATCAGAAACCTATATCCACTTGATTCACCATCCTAATAAGTCTAGTATGCTAGATAAGGAGGAAGAAATGAAACCTATTCAAACCATTTAAGACAATTTTTCACTTCCTAGAACTCCATGGAGCAGGGGTTCTAAAGGCTTAGAATACTCACATTTATCTATAAATTAGAAAGAAATGAAGTTGAGCCTTCTCTAATGGATCGAATGGCCATTGGGTATCATGTGGAGAAGGCTGGGCCATCGGGGAACAGTTTTATTCAAAAAGTTTTGGCACAAAATGATTTAGCTGATAAGACATTGGATAGTTGGCTCCAAACTCGAAGTGACTTTGATAAACTTTGCCCTAATTTTGTTAGTTGGCCAGAGGCGAACCATTTACAGTAACCATACTTTTCTCTTCCTAGATAAAAATATATGACTGCAAACAGATGAAGCAGGAATTTTGAACACTGACCTTTCTAATTCCTATTTCTCCCAAGTCAGAGGGCTGCAGTAACTGGCGATCGCCCTAGGCATGTGTCATTTTAGTTCCCAGAAATGCTTGTGCACCAACATAGTGCCTTAGGTGATGCAATAAGTATATAATCAAGGTGAGCCTTTGCCACGCAGGCAGCTGAAAAGCACATTTACAGCATTTTTTTTTTAGGCAATTAGCAGAAAATTAGAGAAGAGAATTTTAGTTACACTGTGAATCCATAAACAATGGCGGCCATCAATACGGGTCAATGAGGGCAACTTTTAAGTGTGCACACTTGAGCACAGTCCCCATTTCTCCAGTGATTGTTTCCCGTAGACTGCAGTGAAGCCTATCAATTCACAGATGATAGATACTAACCTACACAATTCTGAGAGTGATCTATCCTTAGAGAAACAAGTCTATAACAGACTTAATATCCAGAGTTTAAGACCCTGTTATAGAAATTCTGGAAATCTAAATGCAGCAAATGTGTTCTGGAGAATAAAAAA